GGGTAGTAGGTGGGGTGAAGGTGGGAGCCAGGGGTGGGTGTTTGGGAGCGGCTGAGTCAGAGGAAGCCGGAGCGGGGACAGTTGAGACAGAAGAGAGAGAAGGTTCAAGGATCTTAGTAGAGGCTTTAGAAGGCGCAGCTGGAGGGTGAAGGCGAACCGGTGGAGGTTCATCAGCTGGATCCAAGTCTATAAGATTTAATTCAGGCTTAGATTCCATAGCCAGAAGAATTGGGGATGAGGAGGAAGAGAGAGAGTGTTTAGCAGATAGATAGAAAAAAAGCCTGTACATCTTCCGGTTTGCTGACAGAAGTTAGATAAATCCGGAAAAACCTCGGGGTCTAATGTCCCGTTTGGGGGTCAGTGAGACTGGTTCTCTAAGGAATACCTAGGCCATTTTTTATTACTGAGATATATGAGTCTAGATGCCTTAACGAACGGCATTAGGTTCAAGGGTTTTAAGTTCTCTAAAAGACATCCCAGCGGTGTGGATGGGTTTATTTCCTTAGTTGGCTTATTCCCCATGGGTGAACAAGTTAAAAACCGGTAAAATCCCCTCTCCGGATGCTCATCAGCCCGGGGGGGAGGTGGGGTACTGAGGGGCCTTAGCCTGATAGACCCTGGGTCTGAATAGGGACTCAGCTGTCCCGAAGAACAAAAAGAAAACAGAAGAACCCAACAGCCCCGCAGTGACTAATCGCCGAGGGAACAAGTAGCTACTGATGGGACCACCCTTAGGAAGTAAGCCAAGAGCGATTGTCGGTGAAGGGGGGTCGACCGTAACCATGAAGGTCGTGACCGAGTGTTCCCCGCCTCCAAGAACACCAGAGGGGTGCCGGAAGATCAACGGTCAGTCCCTCGGGTTCAGGGAGACGTTTACGCTGACTGAAAGGGGTAGCCTTACCGAATTGGGTCCGGTGTTGTATGTAGAGTCCCAGCAAACCGGTGAGATGTAATGTGGATTGTCTACCCTTGTGTTAAGGGTACCCTTGACCTAACACGCGCCCGCCAGTGGTTCTCGGGAGAAGGTGTAAGGGCAGAGCCTTTCCACGTCTGGGCGCCAAAATGTTATTCTTTTGTTTAATCTGCAGCTGCTGATATAAAGAAAGGAACAACGGATAAACAACCCACGTGGAGTTTATTTACCAGAAAATGGGGGAGAGGGGGATGGGTAATCAGCCAACCCAAGAGGAGCCAAAAGGAAGAGAGCGAGGGATGGGTGGCAGGACCTTTTAAAGGAAAGGTTGCATATGCACACTGGGGTTTTGCACCTCACAGGTTGCAATGCATGGCTGGTGAGTGCCCCGTTGTTAGGGGGAGTTCAGGGTCATCCAGGTGTATTGTTCTTACAGAAGACCTAGCTCAGACCCATACAGTTTAGTTTCTGTGAGCCACTATGAGCCCTGGTTAGTTGATTCTGTTGACCATGTTCTCCTAGTGCCTCAACCCCTCTGGCTCCTACAATCCTTCCTCCCTCCTATTCCAAGTGGTTCCCTGAGCTGCATTCACCTAATGTTTGGCTGTGGGTTTCTGCATCTGCTCCCGTCAGTTGCTTGATGAAGTTTCTGATGACAATTGGGCTAGGCACTGTACTTTTGGCTGGCATGGCCTGCCATGATCTAATTTTTAGAGTGAATTTTAGTTCTATCCATATCTATAACCACATCCTTGTCTGTAACATCTTATTCTGTTTCTCTGAAGAGCCCAGCCCACACAGTGTGTCTGATTGTATATGCCAGTAGTCCAGGACAGAGGGGGAGAGTAGTGCCCTTGGATGGCCCTGGGGTTTGAATTTTTCCCTGTAGTTACTGGAGGTCTATTGAAGGCTTTAAAAGACAGTCAAAGAGTGTTTGGGAACACATTTCCCTCTTTCCCTTTCCCCAGGCCCTACCCTAGTGAAGTCATCCTCTGTGTGAGGGCAGGCTGTGGTAACAGCATACTCCACAGATCTGAAGCTGCTATGGCCCCTGGAGTACCTCCCCACAGTGTCCCTTGAGGGCTCAAAGCATCTCTGGAGTCCTTAACACCTTAGCCATCCAGGATGAAGTCATACCAAATGTCAACTGCATTTTCTTGCCCCAGGGACAATGTCCCCTGTCTCTCCTTAGACAAAGGGCCGACAGGCTGGGGAAGGAGGTGGTGAGACTTTGGTGTGCTCCACTTCCCAGATCAGCCCAGAGAGGAAATGGTGAAGCATCATAATGGCACCAGGCCCTCTGACTCAAGCTTCTTTACTGAGACACCATCGAACATGACCATAAAGTAACAAACCAAGATCAGTGGATTACGGTTGTCCTCTTCATCCACTGGTCCCATATCCACAGATTCAAGCATCTGTGGATCCCAAATATGTCTTTTAAATTTCCAAAATGTTCCAAAGAATGAAACTTGAACTTGCCAAGAGCCAAATACTATAATGAATGAAACAATTGCGATTAATTGATATGGAAGCACTGGGTAGATATCACAGGTAATCTAAAAATAATTAAAATTACATGGGCAGATGGACTCAGGTTCTGGGCACATACTGTACCATTTTATAAAAGGGACTTGAGCATTGTGGATTTTGGTGTCTCTGGGGATTCTGAAACCAATCCCCTATGGAAACTGAGGGGTGACTGTAGATGGAACCAGATAGGGAAGACAGCGATCTCTTCCTGATTCTTGTTCATTATGCAGTTTTTATGATGCCTCCTAGACACACCTTGAAGGCCCTGTTCCTGTTGATACCAATGGTTAGCCCTCCCTCCCTCTGCAGACTTCAGCCTGTATGGGAATGGACCTTAAACTTCAACAGACTAGGGCCACCCATCCCTGTGGGGAAACCGTTGGTGGTTAGAATTTGGATCACAACACCAGAAGATAATTTGCTATGGTGTGGACTAAATCACACCCAGTTCCAGAAAGTTCTCATGGTGACTCTTCATTTCTTCCTTTGGGATAAATCCTGCATGCCATACCAGCCTGCCGGGCATGCAAAAGCCTAGTGCAACACCCCCTTCAAGGAAAGAAGGACTGGCAACAGTGGCTGGAAGCTCTCTTCCATCTGCATTCTTCTTCCTGGCCCCTTACAAGTGTCTGTGATGGTCCTTGAGATGTTCCAGTTCAGCTCTGTCTTCTTGCAGCTGGAGGCACATGTCCTGGCCTCTCTTGCCACCCCAGAGAACTCTTAGAATGCCACACATTAAGTTCTATAAGTGTGTTCTTGGGCCCAGGGTGACTGACTATTCAAGGTTGGTGCATCCTTGTCGAGACCCGGCTTGTCTCAGCTCTAACCCATGACAGCCATGAGGTTCTACCTGAGTAGGGGTGTGTGAACCTGGAAGCTTCTTGGAACGCAACCTCGATAAAGACCAAACACAGGCTTCTTGTCATCTTTAGAGAGCTCTCAGTTCCATGTTTTGGAACTAGAGCTATTTTTTTATTAGTCATCTTTTCTGGTGTCCCTTAACCATCCTGCTAGCACCACGAGGCAACCATTTCTCCTTTTTTCCCTCGCTGTTCTCTCCTGCTCTGGCATTCTTGCCCACTTTGTTCCTCACCTTCTCAGCTCCTACTTACTCCCAGAACCACCCTCGGCCCAGGTGAGGGCCTATTCAGATGCTTAGGAACATACAGATGCAAATAAGAGGCATATTACCCTCAGGCCAGGTAAACAGTTATAGCCTGGTGTTAATTAACAATACAATGGCGACTCGGAGCTCCCTGGCGCCACCCCTGTTTATATGGCCAGGGCCTGGAATGCAGAATATTCCATAACATATTCGGTCCCCCACATATCCTGTTAATTTGTTTTTCATATTCTTTTCCAATACATTTTTTTTTTGAGACAGGGTCTTACTTTGTAGCAACTGGCTGTCTTGGAACCTGATATGTAGACCAAGATGGCCTTAAACTCATAAAGATCCTGTACCTCCTGAGTGCCAAGATTAGGCCATGTCTGGCCTAATACTTTTTTAATTGCTTAGTTTGTAAGCCTCTGCTTACAGGCAGGACATATAAAGTTTCTATTAGATGCATGGGGGCCTCTTGCCTCTGAGGACCTCACAGTCCTCAGTCAGGATAAGGAAAATATATTGTGAAAGTTTAGTGTCAACATGCAGTTCTGGGAACTAGAAGAAACCATTCTGAGAGAGGTAACCCAGTCACAAAAAGACAAACATGGTATGTACTCACTCATATATGGATTTTAGAAATAGAGCAAAGGATTACCAGCCTACAATCCACACTGCCAGAGAAACTAGGAAACAGAGAGGATCCTAAGAGAGACATACATGGTCCCCTGGAGAAGAGGGAAAGGACAAGATCTCCTGAGCAAATTGGGAGCATGGGGGGAGGGGAGATGGAGCTAGGAGAATGAGAAGGGGAGAATAGGAGGGGACAGGAGGACCTAAGGGAGCAGGAAGGTTGAGTCAGGGGAAGAATAGAGGAGAGCAAGATAAGAGATACCATAATAGAGGGAGCCGTTATAGGTTTAAAGAGAAATCAGGCATTAGGGAAATGTGCAGAAATCTACAAGGATGACACCAACTAACCATCTAAGCAACCATCTAATGTCAGTGAGGAGACCTCAGAAATCTATGGGGCCCCATAAGTAGATCAGTACTTATCCCTAGCATAGGAATGGACTTTGGGAGCCCATTCCACATAGAGTACTGTCACAGCCTAGACACATGGGGGAGGGCCTAGGCCCTATCTGGAAGGATATGACAGACTCTGAATATCCCCCTATGGAAGACCTCACCCTCCCTGGGAGCAGAAAGGGTATGGGATAGGTAGGGCTTTAGTTGGGGGGCAGGAGAGAAGGGGAGGGAGAGGGAACTGGGATTGACATGTAAAATAATCTCGTTTCTAATTTAAATAAAAAATGGAGAAAAACATTCAGCTCTGGACTTGACAGTAGATTTCAGAGTGGGTGGGGAAGACAGAAAGAAGGATGAACAGGGGAGAAGGAAAAGGGGTTCACAAATGCCCATCTTGTCTGTGTCGCCTTGAAGGCTGGCATTGATGATGGGGCTATGCAAACTATCTATTCCTGGATCTGGATCACAGGTGCTGGCCGAACCACCACCATGCCTCTGGCTAGAGATCTATTGCATCCTTCCTTGGAAGAGGAAAAGAAAAAAACATAAAAACGTAAGAAGAAACGGTTGGTTCGGAGCCCAAATTCTTACTTCATGGATGTGAAATGTCCAGGTTGCTACAAGATTACTACAGTTTTCAGCCATGCTCAGACAGTGGTTCTTTGTGTAGGTTGTTCAACAGTGCTGTGCCAGTCCACAGGAGGAAAATCCAGGCTCACAGAAGGCTGTTCATTTAGAAGAAAGCAACACTAATCATCTATACATGTTCCTGAGTTTGTGTTTTTCACAGAAAGCCTTATCAAGTTCACTGACTCTACCAAGACTATGTAACTATGTTTGATTTATAAAGTATACAACAATGATCTCCTATTTTGGTGTCAGATTTTCAATAAAGTTTTAATTATGAAAAAAATTATCTATTCCTGAGTCCAGTGTAGTAAAGACCTGGACCCAGAGAGCACTGCTCCACACCCCACACCGACCCCTGCCCCCACCCCCTTCCACAGAGCAATCTGACTCAGGCCAATTAGTTAACATCCTTGAGACTTGTTTTCCTCATCTGTAGAAGAACAATAGTAATTCTCCTGTCAGATGGGCTTGTTGTAAAAACAAAGTATGACAGTTTACAGCAAGTTCAGAGTAGAGAACTAAACTCATGGAGGGGTCCAGACATGCTTACCTCAGGCTGAGAGTCAAAGGCAGTGGGATCAAACCCTTTAATCTGACAAAGTGAAGAGTGGGTCCCTGAAGCATGGGCTTTCAAGAGTGTTGTACCAGTTACTTTTGCATTACTGTACCCAAAATATGTGACAGAAACATTAAGTGACAGAAGGATACATTTTGGCTCATGATTTTAGGGGATTTTGGTCCATTATGGAGGGAAAGACATGCCAATATTCATGGTGGTGTCAATGGAAATGAAGATTTGTAGCAGAGGCTTCTCACATCATCATGGACCAGAAAGTACAAAAGGAACCAGAGACTATCCAGAGACTATCACCATGAAAGGTCCTTCCCTATATATTATATTGTAATATAATATACATATGTATATGGGATTTATTGGAATGACTTACAGGCTTCAGTCCAGCTAATCTAACAATGTAGCTGGATTTTTCTTGGACAGCCAGCCCCAAATCATGACAAGAAGACTTATATTAATTATGAATGCTCGGTCTTAGCTTAGGCTTGTTTGTAGCTGGCTTTTTTTTTTTTAAACTTAAATCAACCCCTTTCTATTAATCTATGTGCTGCCCTGAGGCTCATTTACCTCATCTAGGTACTGTCCATCCTGCTTTCCTACTTCCTCCGTGTCTGTCTGGCCGTTGGCTAGCTGACTGGCTCCCCTTTTCTCTCTTCCTATCAGCCCCTCTTATCCTTTCTTTGCCTAACTATTGGCCATTCAGCTTTTTATTAAACCAATCAGGTGCCTTAGGCAGGCAAGGTAAAACAGTAATACATCTTTACATAAACAAATGCAGCATAAACAAAAGTAACACATCTTTACATAGTTAAACAAATATTCTATTCCACAATAGCTGACTCTGAACAGAAAATCCAACAATCCAGTAGTGCTCAGTCCATAAGGCCAGATGTCTCTGCTGGTCTTCAGCATATGCTAGAATCCTGAAGAAGTAGACTCGAATGCCAGTGAATGAATGATGTGCTAGCAAGGTGAGGACAAGCAGGCAAAGAGCAAAAGCTTCCTTTTCCATGTCCCTATATAGGCTGCCAGCAGAAGGTGTGGCCAAGATTAAAAGTGTGTCTTCCCACCTCAATATCTGGATCAAAGCCTCAGAAGTCCAGGCTAGAAGTGGGTTAACTCACTTCATACAAGAAGCAAAAATAATCTCTAACAGGTGTGTCCTCCATTTCTGGATTGTAGTCCGTTCCAGATGTAGTCAAGCTGACAACCAAGAATAGCCGTCACAGCTAAGCACCACTTTTTGAAGTTCCGTGACCTCCTATGATCTCACCACCAGCTGGTGAGCTTGTGGTGGGAATTTCAGACATGAATAGCAGGGGCTGAGATCCTTGTCTTGCATTTCCCAGCTGAACCCCTCCCTTCTGTGAGAACTTGGAGATCAAAGACAATGGGATCAGAAGGAAAATTTCTCTGAGGTGTGATGCGGGCGTTCTGTGAATCCCATCTTTCCTCCCAAGACCTCAAACCCCTACTACTTGCCACTCTAAGCATGCATAAGCATGGCAACAAAGGATATATCTCTGCCACCATGACTGATGAGTAGCTTCTATGTGACTTTGGGAGCTAGGAGGTCACTGTGGACTGGCCTGACAAATGTTATACTTGACTGATAACTCTGTTTCAGAAGAGAGAGAATCCTCTAAGAATCAAACAGGGACTGTGAGATACATCCCGGAGTTGTCTTAGACACTGTCCAAGGGGTAGGAGTTTCTAAGAGGAGAGACTTGCACCATGAAGGAGCTGGCATACGCCCCTACCATGCACAGGTGCTACCAGAGGACACCGATCAACAAGACTAAATGCTCTCACCCTCATCTCTCACAGTGAAACTGCAGGGTAGAAGGATCACGAAATGGAGGAGAGGGTGGGGAAGGCTAAAGACCTCCAGGTCAGCTTTAGATACCCAAATGCACCTGACCTGAAAAGGGTGAAAGTGGTGACTTCCAACCCAGATGGACACTTGGGTGGACACAATGATTATTGAACTGTGGATGTTGAATTCACCTGTTATTTGAAAGCCAGCAAGTCCATGAGGTGTGCCAGAGCTTTCCTTCAGGGACAAGGTATTCTTACCAACATGCCATCCTGTCGATACTAAGGTTTCAAATAGTTGCTGTAAGCTGGAACAGCTTCCTGTCTCTAGCTACCTGTTGAATCCAGGCTCCTTCCTTCACCCAGAAGATGGTCAGTGGTCTCTCTTATCATCCTCCCCCTTTTTGAGGTATAATTGGCAAATGAATTTGTGTAAGCTTAAAGCACTCAGTATGGTGAATGGGTACCTATACATCATCAAGTGACAACTATGATCAGATTAATTAGCAAATCCATCATTTCTGGTACCATATTCATTTTGTTGGTGTGCACCCTTAATATGAACTCTCATCTTAAAAACTGAAAATATCACTATCGGTAATCACCTTGCCGATCATTCCATTCTCAGCCCTTTCTTTCCATTGACCCAGAGTGCCTCATCCTTGCCTCACAAGCCTCTGAGCCACATGGTGCATTCTCTTTTGACCCAGGCTCTACTGCTTACCTTTGGTAGGGAAAGAAGTGTACACATCTCATTCCAGGATGATATATGATAGTACCTGACAAGAGTTTTGTTGCTTTGGGACAACAACATTCCTTTAATTTTAGACATAGATGTGTGTAATGATATAGACATATACATATAGACATATTACACTACAACCTAGTGTTTGGTTATTTTAAAATCACAGAGCAGGATGAAGAGATGACTCAGAGTTAAGAGCACTGGCTGCTCTTCCAGAGATCCTGAGGTCAATTCCCAGCAATCACATGGTAGCTCACAACCATCTATAATGAGACCTGATGCCCTCTTCTGGTGTTCAGGCACACATGCAGGCAGAAAACTGTATACATAATAAATAAATCTTTAAAAAATTCTTTAAAAATGTATAGACTCATCAGTAATGAAGACTACCCGTTTTGAAAGTTTTGGCAACTATGTCAGCACACATACTGCCTACCACAATCAAGATTTGCTCCCAATTTCCATCACCCCTAATGTATCCTTCTCTTTTCGACCCTTCTGCCCCTCTCAGGCCACAATTCAGCTTTGTCCAAAGTCTGGTAGCCCCTGATGACCTTCTCACCACTATTGATGTAATTGCATCTCCTAGACCAGTAGTTCTCAACTTTCCTAATGCTATGACTGTTTAATACAGTGCCTCGTGTTGTGCTGACTCCCATAAAATTACTTTCATTGATGCTTCATAACTGTAATTTTGCTACTGTTATGAATCTGTGTTTTCTAATGGTGTCAAAGGGGTCATGACCACAGGTTGAGAACCACTGTCCTAGATATTCACAGACACGGAATTATACTCTACAGTCCATATATAATTGAGGACAATCTGGACACATTGCTGCATGGCCTTTCTGGTCCTAGTCCCATTGGCTCAGAATCATGTGCCTCCTCTCTGGTCACATTTCTGACACACTGGTCTCTGCTTTTCTGTCAGTGCCTGATTTATTTTCTAATATATGAAAATGCCATGAGCTTTCTCCATATGGACATTTCTGATTTCCTTTGGGTTTTGGATACAAATTGTTTCTAAACTGCACAGGAAGATGGATGCAGATCGGAGTGGCTCTTCAGCAACCTTTATGAGGGGTTGTATGTATCTTTTCCTGCACCCTTATTTACAGTTGTCTTTCATGGTCTTCTGGGACCTTACTGTCTATAAGCCTTTAGTCTAGCAAGGGTGTTCAACCTTTTGACATTGCAATGTGATGTCATCTGTGAATGTACTGGGTACATTCATGTCTGTCTTGGGATGCATGTAGTTCACAAATGGCCCTGGGCATACACACCTGCCAGAGACTGGGTCAACTCAGCTTCTCACATTCTGGTCTCCCTGAGATTCTGAGCAAGCCAAAGAAGGAAAGTATCAAGACTACTCCAGAAATGACTCCAGCTCATGAGTTCCAGAACATTCCCCTCAAAAAGAAGCATACAGCACATAGAAATGGATTAGCAGGGGTCCTCTCTTCCCATCCCTAACCACGTGTAAGTTGCCAGTTCTGGCCTTTCTCAAGTGTCAGCCCTAGGGGACTCTGCAGTGGTCCAGAGGCAGCTCTTTCTTTAGTCAGCAGACACATGAAAGCCACTACTCCCCTGTGCACTTGTCTTCCTCTGTTCTGGTCCAGTTAAATCCAAGTGCTGTGCCACCAGCAATGCCTTTTGTTCAATGACATCTTGGTAACGAGCACTGTAACCTGGTGGAATACACACATGGGAATTCAGTAGCTCTTCATTACCCATCACACACACACACACACACACACACACACACACACACACACCCTCACAGAGTCACACATCCAGTTGTTAAGATCCTAGTCACCATATAAACACTTGTCCTAAACTCCGATGGGCAGGTTCTCTTACCTGGAAATTTTGGAATTGGGATAGAGAAGGGCTAGTCTGTGGTTTTGTCAAGAAGCATGGTATGGGTATGCTAACAGGCAGAGCAAGGTGGTGGGGGAGGAGGAAATGGCCTTTTAAATGCAGTTATAGAATGGTGGTAAATGCAGAATGGGGGAGGGGTTACACAAGCAAGAGATTGAGAAGGGAGGGGTAGGGTAGATTTCCAGGTTTTGTTCTGTGACACTTCTCTAAACTTAGTGAATGTCTCGCTTTAGTTTCCAGGGTTGGAGAAGCTTCTGGTTG